ACTGGGCCTCTTCAGATCAAGCATTTATTTTAAAAAGCTTATTCATTTTGTTAAGTTGTCTAGAATAATAAAGCAGTCTTTAAAAAATAAGTGTAATGATTTGAACATTCTATAGGCATTTATAGCAATTGACTTACCTCCTTGCAGCAACAGCCTGATTAGCTGAGGAAAAAAAAATCTGCCTCTGCCTCCCAGCAATTTGCCTGGTGGAGCAAACAGCAAGTTTCACTTTCAATTTTTCCTGATTGTCAGCTGTTTCAAGCTGCAGGGATTGCTATAGCCTATTGAAGCTCCCATTTGCTGCAAAGAGGTAAATTGCTGGGAGGCAGAGGCCAAAAGGTTCGGGCCGGTGGGTGGGTGGGGTTACATTTGGTGTATAAGGTGCACCCAAATTTTCACCCTCTTTTAGGGGAAAAAAAGGTGTGTCTTATACTCCCAGGAACTTCTGGAAATGTATATAATTACGTATGGTGTATTATATAAAGAGGGGGAGGGAGAGAGTCTCATTTATTTTGTTTTAGTTTTTATATTCTGCCTTTATAAACTCTTTTTTTGCACTTTTAGCAATATTGTCTTAATGGTTTTTTAAAATTCTAATTTTAGTTTAACAGTCATGGGAACTTGTTGCCTACAGATAAGTTAATTTTTAATCTATGCTAAGAGAAACTTGGTTTGACTCAGAATATTTAACAATCTCTGAGGTTTTAAATCCTTAAAGTATTAATTTCTTACAGTAAATAAGTAAATCTCTTACCATGGTTTCACTTGGAGACCAAAATTAAATCCATAGTTACTGTTTAAAGCAGTGTTTCTCAAACATGGTAACTTAAGATGTGTGGAATGAATTACCCTGCGGATTTGGGGGCATTGAAGTCCATACAACTGAAAACTGGAATATCATCACTGATATATAGTAGCAATTGACCTCAAACTCCAGCCAGTATTATACCTAAATATATTTGTGTAATATGGCAGACCATTTGCTCCAATATCAAATGAAAAATAAAAAAGATTTGAGGAACTTCCTGGATGAGTCCTGGACACTCCTTATAGAAGAAAATTCCATTTGTAGTAAGTCCAACAGAAGGTATATTAGACATACTGATCCAATTAAAGTAGGAGAAAAACATATTTATAGAAAGCTTGATCCAGAAATTTTCACTGCACTGTATAAAATATTTTTCTCTGCATTCAGTGACACTGCTACAGTGATCTCAAGTTTTTTAAATATATATTCAGATCATTCATTTGTAATCAAATATGAGCAGACACTTGATGACTTTATCAGTCCTGAATAATGTGATTTTATAATCAAAGATAATATAACTTATAATAAAAACCCCAAATGTATTAGTTGAAGCAATTTATAATCTAATATATTGCAATCAGTATTTTTAATCTGATGAACTTTCATAGTCAGCAAGGTCTTTACTAGTGTTCTAGGTCATAGTTATGTAAACGTGGCTGAATGTTGGAAAACTTTGTTTAAACAGGTATCATTACAGCAGTTAACTGCCCTAATTCTTCCTTTTTTTAAAGCACAACCTCAGCGTTTGCCTCAGCCAAATGCTTTGCCGCTTGACAAGTATAAGGAAGGAACCAGCAAAAAACAAAATAGCCCAAGAAGTCTGAATAGTGAAAGTGGATTTTGCAGTGGAGTCAAAGTTGATGCACCAGATAACCGAATATTTTCTGCACCTGTTTCCCAAAAGATACACAGAAAAATTCAGTCCAGCCTGTCAGTCAATATTGATAGCAGTAAGAAAAGCCCTGCTTGTTCTCATAAACCAGGTCCTTCTCCTGAAGGTAAGTTGATAACAAAGCCCTGATAATAATTAAGCAATCGTCTAAAAATAATTGAAGAGTCTTGAGTCATGTTTCAGAAGGAAGTAGAAATCATTACTGTAAAACAACTTATTTTACCAAAGGAAAATGTTTGGTGGGAAATTGCAGCAAGTATTTGAAAGAAATGAAAAGTATTTCCTGCTTTCAGATATTTGTTCATCTCACTACTGATCTTGGAGTTTTCTTTAAATTGCTAACTGGCAGTATCTTTACAGAGACAAGAAATGCTTTGTATTTAGGAGATAGGCAAATATTTTAAAATGTGTAATAACTTGTATTTTTGTTATTGACAAGGGCTTAGTACATCCCCAAAAGTCCATATGCTGTATAGAAACCTAATCCTGGGTATGTATGTATTGTGTGTGTGTGTGTTTGTATTATATATATATTATATATTATAGTATATATAAAAAATCACACACACACACACACACACACACACACACACACACACACACA